AGATCGAAATCGCGATCCGCGTCTGGCAGTTTCGACAGAACACAGACCACTTCGAATTATTTTGTTTTATAATTCAGCAAATTCATTGATCAACTTTAACTAGAGTTGATCAACATTTGCAGATTTCTTGTCTACTTAGAGGTGTTACTTCCAATAAATATTCGTATTACGATTAGAATGCGAGGGGAATTCCTTAACCATCCGATTCACTTTCTTTAAAGTCTCAAAATTCAGAAGAAGATAAAACTTTGTTCGAATCTATCGGTAAGATAAATCAAGCTAAAACGCTTTCCTCCTTTCCGAAGTTTAAGAGCAAGACCTCAAAACTCCGTTTACTCAACGGACTCCTTTCAAGTATGAGGCACACGTGGAAAGTTATACGAAAGACGTGATACAATAACGGCGGTTATAAAACGGGCGAGCTCTCGGGGATTTATTGCGCTTGTTTATTTATCCGACAGCTAATTTCGGTTACAGTTACAGGGAAGTGAATTTCCGAAAGTTACCCGTACGTTTCCTTTATATCCCGTTTACCAACCCACATACATATGTACATATCTACGTAAGTACACGTTAAACTAAATTTAATTCTCAGTAAAAACTGGGAATAAGTACGATAAACTTTCAAAGGGGTTGTAAAAGTCAAATAACTGTCATACTTTTTGTAGCATACATTGAATAGTAAGATAGCACAGTAAAAAAGTAAAAGACGTAATAATAAATAAGAACCCGAGATAAAAATGTTTAGTCTCTCAGAGTCTCTGAAAGCGAGACTCCAGTCTCCGTCTCTCATCGAGTGTCTCTGGTGTCGCTGAGAGAGACTGTCTCTGTGAGAGACTCGAATCTCTGAGTTAACAATTTTATCGTTCGAGTCTCTCATACAAAGACTGTGAGAGATCCATAAAAACACCAATGCAATAACTGAGAGACTGTGAAAGACTGTCAGAGACGCTCTCAGAGACGCTGAGAGACTGAAGAGAGACTGAAAAATTTTGTCTAGGGAAGGACAGCATAGAAGAACACCTTCTAAAACAGGGGGGTTAGTTAGAGACATATTAGAAGCAGAAACAGATGTAAATAAGAAAGAAAAACCTGGTATTAATATCGGGTACCCGGGTAGATCCAAAAACATGGCTGAATCCGCAGAGTGCCGGATCTAAACCGAGTACCCAGCCCATCTATAAATTAGACTACTGTTACGCAAATTGTTAGGGATATGGATATGCTCTAGTTTAAGACAATGCAAAGATAGTGCAGGAGAACTACGTTTTATCCTCAAACAAGTTGCAAACTAAATAAAAACAATATCCACATGTAGATTGCAATCTTTAAATATATAATATTTGGTGGATTTTGCAAAAACAAATCGAAATGTCGCAAATAACGCGGTTACTCGCTTTGTTTTTGCAAACCGTCGGTTTTGTCTTATAGTTCATCATCATCATAAGGTCATCAGTCCTAAGACTGGTTGGACACGTACCTCCACTCTTTCCTATCCTGAGCTAAACTTCGCATTTCCCTAAAACTAGAACAGCCCACATCCTTAACTATTTGCGAACAGTAATCTAATCTAGGTCTACCTCTACCCCTCCTAACTCCTGTTTCTGCCTCTAATATGTCTCTGACTAGACCTTCATGCCTGAGAAGGTGTCCTACCAACCTATCTCGCCTATTTTTTATTGACTTCCATAGAGTCCTCTGTTCTCCTATTCTTTCCAATACCTCTTCATTTCTAACCTTTTCTACCCACGATATCCTCATCATCCGCCTATAACACCACATTTCGAACGCTTCTAACCTTTTCTTTTCCGCCGCTCCCACTGTCCATGTTTCGCACCCGTACAACGCCGTGCTCCAAACATACACCTTTAACAACCTTTTTCGAATTTCTAAATTAACCGTTCGCGAGCATAGAAGTGACTTCTTTTTATTAAAGGCGACACGACCCTGCGCTATCCTCTGCTTTATATCCCTACTACTCCTTCCATCCTCACTTATCTGACTTCCTAGGTATCTAAAATCAGCCACTTCTTCTAATTTTTCGTCTCCTATCTTTATATTCGCTCTTTCCCTACTTTTTCTTCCCTTGCATATCAGTATTTTAGTTTTACTTTTATTTATTTTCATACAGTACTGATCTGTCAGTACCGCTTCCATTTTATTTAAAGCTATCTCTAGGTCCTCCTTGCTAGATGCTAATACTGCTATATCATCTGCAAATCTAAGCATACTAATCTTTTGCCCTTGCACATCTATCCCTACAGTTGTACTGTCTTTAATGATGTTGATGGCGTCTTCGATGTATAGATTAAAAAGTAGCGGTGACAGTGTGCATCCCTGCCTGACTCCCTTCCTAATATTTACTTCTCTACGTTGCATCCCCAGCTCTATAACTGCCTGTTGCTCTTTATACAAACTAAGTATCACTCTTGTCTTATAGTTAACAAACAAAAAAAAAATACAACTTTTTTCGAGCGGAAATGGCTTGTAGTTGCGGCGAAGAGTGGCATCCGTGTTGTCGTGGTAGTGGTTCGTTTTGACTGGAGCTCATTGTGTTCGTATTTTTATCGTACATTTGGAAAGTCCACCAAATATTTATCATGGTGATGATGATGATGACGATAACGTGTAGATGAATAATCTTGTTTTAGTATTGAGTGGTACTGTTTTGTTATTTTTGTCTCTACAATATAACATGATTTCTATGTAAATGTTCTATCTCCCTTATTAATTTTTAACGGTAGTGTGTGGCTCGGAGGGCTTCCCACCCGCCCATCTCAGTGTTAGTAACTGATGGTAAAATCGAATCACGCAAGGGTCTTGTTTTAACTTAATTGACAGTCTTTTGTTACTGCTAATGTCATGTTTCGTATTGCTCGATATATTATTCCTGCAGCTAAAAAGCTATTGGTTTTATAAAATAATGTAAAACAAAATTGAATAAGTAAGTAACGTAATTGTATATTCAATGGACGTGGGGTAGGTACTTTAATGTCTTCAGCATCGCAACAAGGGAAACGGCGAAAGACAAAAGACATTTCCAATTATTTGCAATGCTGACTTGAAGCTGTTATCGTAATAAGATATTCATTCCTCCGTATGCGTCGCATCAGAGGACTTAGCATATGCCGCCTGGAACCTGGAAAAGCGAATTATTATTCACGAGAGAGCCGTTTACTAATATCCGCTGTATGTACAACTAAGACGGGACTGCATGTCAACTGTAATGTACAGTAATGTTCACTGAAAACGAACTAGACAAAATAACGAAAATTCCTTAAAAAATTGAAAAATGCTGCCCCAAAATCTGACTATGGATAACGAGCTGTCTACATCTATTTAATTGTTATTAAGTTTTGAGGGCGCAAAGGAGAAATGTCTAGCACTATTGAAGTGATTGTTAGTGAAAAGAGAAGAAATTTGTTTTTAATAGAAGGCTTTAAATTCTGTTTTCATAAAATGTTGGCAGGTGGATGTGCAATAAGAAAGGTTCCAGATAAAAGTGTCGCTCAGAGTTTCTGGAAGCGAGACTCGAGTCTCCGTATCTCATCGAGTCTCTCTGGTGTCGCTGAGAGAGACTGTCAAAAAACTGTTTAGCGTCTCTGAACGAGAGACTTGAGTCGCTCGTAGAGAGATCCTCATTTCGTATCCAATCTCTGAACAAGAGACTCGAATCTCTGAACGAGAGACTCGAATCTCTTAATAAGTGGTGTCTCGATAGTCATGGTTAAAATTTTAAAAAGTTCAACATATTTCGGAGATCCCGGTCTTTCTACGAGACTCGAGTCTCAATTTTTCAATTTTATTCATTCAGTCTCTCTGTGAGAGACTCGAATCTCTGAATTAACAATTTTATTGTTCGAGTCTCTCATACAGAGACTGTGAGAGATCCATGAAAACACCTAGGTAATAACTGAGACTGTGAAAAATTGTGAGAGACTCTGTCAGAGACGCTGAAAGACTCTGAAAGACTGAGGAGAGAGAAAAGTTTTGTCTCGGGGGATGCAAGTCGTTTTTAAAACTTTTTAGAAAAAGTTGTAGACGGCCCGAATACTTTCGTTTTCAATATTATATACTTACTATCCCCTGTTGAATATTTGTCTGACAATAGTTTATGTATTGTTTACTGTTTTTCAAATAAATTGCAAATAATTTAATGATTGGTGGTTAAATTATATTTCAATTCAATTTTAATATTGTTTTTTTTTTTAGTGATTAGAGATAGATTTGCTTATCATTATTCAATCTATTTTATTTTATTGTATTGAAAATTTCAATAATTTCAAATGCATACAATGTAGTCAAATATCTCTTGAATTTCCAAAAATTAATAGGCCGATTTGGTCCCAATGATCAGGTTCTGGGAAGGTTTTCGACAGCAACTACCTTTGTTAATTTTATTATCGATACTCTTCAATTGTATGCAGGTTACATGATTAGGGTTTTCCCCTTATTGGCTACTAGCTCGTATTCTTTTGTTGCAAACCAAGTATTGGTGGTGGCACCAGAACAATTGTTGATTTTGTCACATAATTTAGAGTTAGTTACATTTTGTACTTCTTCTTATTAACTTGCGTTTATAATTCATATTTTTTTTGTTGTCCATGTAGTTGTAATCCGTTATTTCATAGTTAATAATTCATTTGCAAATAAGGCCTGTTAATAGTGTTTTATATCGAGTTTCATTCGCTCCGATAAAACCAACATTTTGAAAAAATACTGGTCGTGATTTCAAGGCAAATAAATTATTTATTTAATTAAAATTCAAAGCCATCACACAAATTAATGCGCGATACTCAATTTACGTACCAAAATTCCAATATTGGTATCGAATTTACGTATGTGAAGTTTAGTATTGGAGGAAATTTACACTAAAATGTTGGCATATGACCTAATTTGCGTTTTCCGCCGATAGAAAAAGAGCCTCGTTAACTAGTCTATTTCCAATTTATCGTACGATAGATACCTATATATTTGTAACTACTCAATTATTGTTTCAGCACCTCCTGGTCACATAGTGAAGTTGGCCTTTAGGAAGAATTTTAGTATCGAATGGAGTCTAGACTGCAAACACGATTTCCTGGAGGTACGTGACGGTGCACACGGTTACGACAAGCTCCTGCACAAACCATTCTGCGGTTCAGAGTTTCCATCTGACGTTATTTCAACCGACAGGCACCTGTGGATTCATTTCAAATCCGACGACAGCATCGAGGGCGCCGGTTTTAAAGTTGTCTACGATTTTATGCCGAGACCACCCTCGTGTAAGTATACTAAGTAAACTTTTTAATGTTACATCACTACAGAACATCTGATAATAACCAGTAATACGCTACAAAACAAATGTCACCATTTTACGATTCGCTGCATTGGAAAATGAGGATGGTAATTTCGATTTAATACACGTTTAGGTACGAATACGAAATCTTTGGCGACATGATATGATAATGGTTAAGGAGTAGTAGGGATATAAAGCAGAGGATAGCGCAGGTCGAGACCGAGCGGCATGGCCTAGAGGTCTAGACCATTGCTTAGCATTCGGGAGGACGCCGGTTCGATTCCGGGTCCGTCTGCCTTGGTCCAAGTTTTTCTGTGGTTTCCTTGGATCACTTAGGCAAATGCTGAGGCAGTAATATTCCACAGATA